CCGTCAAATTTCCATGACACATTCTATTGATTAGTTTTCCGTTTGCCTAATCATCATGCATTGTCTACAACAATCACGACTATCCTCCACCGATAGCCCAAAACAATTATTTCAAACAGAAAATAAATGCACAAATGGATATTCAATCAACATTTCATTCCGGTGAGTGATAGATAATTCAACTACACCCTTTAAACCCTTTACATTCCCAATCTCAACAATTTCATTTCATTTCCTCATCTCTTACAATTAATTATCCCAATTAATCAATCAATGTAATTAGGTCATTTGCCATAATTAACATTACAACCCTTAGGTCCCATTTTCATCAATGATTCAACATTTATTCCATTTCTCTATGCCAAACATGCATCTAGGTTTATTATGAATAAAACCCCAACTTTTTGTAAAATAACACAAAAGCCCCAAACTTTCACCAAATTACCAAACCAACCCCAACATCTCAAAATACTAAAATTTAAAGACAAAAATCCATAGAGAGGAGTAGGATATCCCTACCTCAAATTCGGAGCTCCAAGGGAGAAGAAGACAAAACCCAACGTGCTCCAAATCTCGAAATTTTCAGATTAAAAAGTAGCCCTCGACGATCAACAACTTTTTTGTAAAGGCCAAAGATGAGCAAATCACTCCTACTAGATCAAAACCTATAGAGAAGGTTGAGTTCTAGAGTGAGAGGCTCAACAATGGTGTTTTTGGAAAAGTAGGAGAGAGAGAGAAAGTAAAAAAGTGATTTGAAAAGTCAAAACACGGAACTTAAACCCAGTCGACCCGCTCGAGCGTCAAACACCCGCTCGAGCGTCACTCACAGACTCCCACTCGAGCGCCAACAATCCCGCTCGAGTGGCGAAATACACACTCCCAGAACTTTTACAGAACCAGGCCATTCGCTCGAGCTTCCAATTGAAATAAATGGTGCCACTCACACAACCCCGCTCGAGCGGCCAATACCACGCTCGAGCGTCCAACACTGCACAGAAAATACTGGATGGGTGCAATTCCCGCTCGAGCGCCAAAACCCCCGCTCGAGCGGACAGGTCAAAATCTGGGCAACTAGTTTTGGTTTCTAAACTCAACCAACCTGTAACAAACCTGCCCAACACATCCCATAACTAAAATACTAAGTAAAAAGGATGTAAACAAGATAATAAACAACTACCAACATCCACGGACACATGTCCGGATCACTGTATATCAAGGGTAAACCCGGGATCGCTATAATCCATGACAGTGGACACTTCACCAAAACTTCGTGGATACTTCAGCGACACTTTTTGAACCCTTCAAATACCTCCTATGTGATGAATTTTTTCTATAACAATGTCCTACATTCTTAAGAAAACACAACTTATGTATTCTAAATATGTTTGGAAGTATTTATAAAATGAATACATCATGTGTATTACAATGTTCTATAATTTGTTTTGTATTGTTTAGAATGTAATTATTACTAAATGATATATTGACTTTTAAGTTATGAACTATATAGTTTTTTAATGTGATTAGTGTCATGTTATATATTTTCCATTATTTGTGAATAAAATATTCATATATATATTTATGATATATAATATATTTTTCAAAAATAAAATTTTAGCGTATCCCAAAAGCGTGGTGTCCTACAATTTTTGGAAACCGACATGTAGGCATGCCCGTGTCTATGATACTTAGGTGTCCATTGTGTGTAATTGGACATTTACCCAAAAAATGTCTTGTAATTCTAGTTTACCATATAATTATGCACGAAGCTTCCATGTAATGCGTGGAATGCTCTATGTCACCTTGAAAACACGATTCCAACTTAGTATATTAAAAAAAAAAAAAAGAATATTAAGAAACATGAATATTTTGTGGTGTCCCTGCATGAATAGAAATGGAAATTAGATAAATCGAACGCTTCGACACATATCCGTACAACCGTATCAAAGTCCATGTAACATAGATGAGCAACAATTACTTCAACATTGTGTTCTCCATTGAATATTACTCTTTATTTTAATGTTTGATGGAAGAAAGAGTGAAGATCAATATTTAAAAAAAGAATCTAAATCTTCCCTTTCGTCAAAAGCCTTAGAAATAAATTGCCATTATTTCTTACAAAGGTTCTATTGAGACTAAGTGAAGATCATGTATGCCAAAAAATGTGAATGGGAGAAAGGAATACCAAGATTCCATTTGCTGAAATTCTTTAGCTAATGTCCTTTGCAAGTATCCAGTGTCCAAAAATCCCTCAAATTGAACTAATTCTTTGACTCTTTTCGTAGTTTCCCTGAAGAATCAAGCAAAACAAAATTAATTACTGATCAATCATCAAAGTGCATGCATAATGAGAAGAAGAAAATAATTGAAAGGTGTACCTTGGAATGAGGCCAAGCCATGAATATATATTGCATGAATATTTACAAATTAAGAAAAATAATCAAAGGCACTAAATCTATGCCTTCATTGAGAGAGAGAGAGAGAAAGAAGCATAATTCTTACAATTTTATCCCTCAACACATTGAAGGCATCCTTATGACACCACACTCTGCTACGCTTTCCAGGTTCCTTTTGTGATTCCCAGCGAACAATTTCCTTACCTATGTCTATAAGCACTTAGTGCATTATCAGCTTGTTGTTATCTTTATTAACTTCTATGAGACCTCTATGAGTGAGATTTTGAATACCAATTGTTATGGAGAAATCACATTCCTCTTGTATTTTAACTGTGTAATCTTTGTCCTTTCCAACAAAGAAACTGTCACGACCCCAACCCGCCCCCATAGGTCTAGGACCGTAACAGGCCAGTAATCTGTGATTACCGAAGGCCTAACTGACAAAGCAAACAAAAGGGGGCTAGCGGAAGCTATTATGTAAAAACAAAACATCCATTGAGCTATGCATTCAGATGACATTGCTATACATATATATATACACACATATATACACGCATAAGTACAACAGCCGTTACACGTTCGTCAGAAAAATATAAGGAAAAGGGGAGAAAGATACTCTTATGAAAACAGTTATAATATTAAAAACCACATGACCAAAACACATGAATGCATAACAAAAGGGTGGACATCGGCTAGGTTCAAACTTAAGTAGGTGGGGAACCTCGCAGTGAGGCTCAATGGTTGGCTTGGCAAAACTCGAGTAAGACCGATGCCATTACGTCCTTTCCTGAGCTGGATCACCTACAAGGCATGCCAAAATGTGAGCTAGACCCAGTGAATAACAACTGAGTGAGGAGATTATGAATGACAATTATAATGTAAAATGACACACAAACTAAACAAGCTTATTCAATATTTAAAAAGCATAACATTTCACATGGCGTGTACCAAAAGCAGCAAATACAGGCGGTCTGGAAAGGACGAACATACGGTCATGGGGACCGAACAAACGGTCAAGAAGACCGAATAGGTGGTCATAAGACCGAAAATCAAGTTTGATAGTCAACCTCACATTAAACAGGAGTTCCGAAAGGTGGAACTAAGGGATTTATAAGTGTTAATGGTACCAAATGGCAAACACTGAGAATCATCGTAAAATCATCTTTCATTATCATAGGAATCCTTCAAGATGAATATAAGTTCGAAGCAGAAGAAGATAATCAGGATTAAACATATTTATACAGCAATGTTACTCATAGTCCGTTTCGTGTTGCAGACGGTTGGAATGAGGCGGTTGACCTACACAAACAGATATAAGCATAGAACACTTAATTTCCACACAACTAGCTAATTAGTTTCATTGCTTAAGCATTCGTTGGTTTAAAAGTCGTTCACCCTTGTTAGATGCTTTTACATTGCAAATGAACACTAATTATAGATGTAAATTATGGTGACATAAGCTCGAGAGTGGGGAAAATAACACAGAAAAATGAAACCGAGGCTGCAAAGCTGCCGCACGTGCAGAGGTTCTTGGCCGCATGTGTAGGACCCCATCTGCACGTGCGCCCCTACGTGCTTTTATTACAGAATGCATCATCCTTCACCCCTGTTTTCCGCACTTGCGGGCCTATCCACCGCACATGCTGGCTCACCAGCCGCAAGTGCGGTTCTGGGTGCTTCAGAATCGAGTTTCAGCTCTGTTTTTGGGGTTCCAAACTCCACAAAATAAAACTCAAAATTGCTCAAATTAAAGACCAAAATTTAACAATCATGATACACAAACAATTTTCATGTTCCACTCAAAAGTAGACCTTTAAATTCAACCTCAAGCTCAAGAATTTCGTCAACAACTTCAAAATTGGGTGAAGCTTAATGATTCAACAAAATTATAGAAACCTAACTTAAGGTCAAGCAAGATCAAATAGATGAGCTCTAATTTCTTCAAAATTTGGAGACTTCTTCTTGTTAGGGTTTTTAATTTAATTAACTACCCTAGCTTTCAAGCTTCCCTTTTGTTTCTCATACCCCATGAGTTCAAGGTGAAAATTAGCCTTATGCAAGAGATTAGAAAGAAATGGTACCTCAAGGAGCTAAGTTAATCAATTTGCTCAAGATCTCCTTCACCTCCTTCACTTCTCTTCTTTCTCTCTAGAACTCTCTCACACCCTCTTATCTCTCCCTCTTTTTGTCCAACACCAATACATATATAAATATAAATAAACAAAACAAAGATGTAAGCATCCATACCTAACTATGGAATATTGACTTCATTAACTTAGTTAATTCTATTAAATTAGAAATACACCTACAAAATGCTAACTGAACTCTTCCTTTCTAATTATGGTTAATTAGGCTCTAAGCACTTGGTCCACTAGTTAATTCATAACCTTACCATTTAATGAATCAGACAGGTCTTTTTCATAAGGAACATATCTTATAGCAACCATGATGCACATAAATAAGCATATAGGGTGCAGATAAAGACACAAGTAATATTAACCATAAAAATAACAAGGAAGTAAGAGGCAGGTGTTACAGAAACAAGCAATATTAAGGAATAAATTTTTCTCATGATCATCTAAAGAATCATAACTTATTTTAAGCACATTATGAATTTTCTCGGGAAAATGTGTTCTTAATTTTGCTAATGCACTTTCTCTCCACATCAATAGTTTCACCAGACAGAGAAAAGCCCAAGACTTCCAGAGCTAGCGGAAGGCCACCACAGTGGTGTATTACCCTTTTTGAGTGCTCCACGTAAGCTTCAATAGGTTTGTCTTGTCCAAAGGCATGCCGGTTAAAGAGACAGATTGCTTCATCATCATTCAATTCCTTAACCACATACGACTTGTACACTTCATCAGCCTTTAGCAATTGCACATGTCTAGTAGTTATCATAATCTTACTTCCTGGATGAAGCCAATCTCGCATCCCCAATAATGCATTTACTTGGTCCAAACCATCAACATCATCAAGAACAACTAGAACTCTTTTACAGCACATAGCATCTTTAATCTTATTGATTTCCTCAGCAACACAATATATTCTTTCCTTATTCCACTTCAGAATATCTGAAACAAGTTGTCTCTGCAAACAAACCAAACCATTAGGTTGTTTTGCAGTTTCTCTAATATTTGCAAGAAAACTGCTACCTTCAAATTTGTCGAAGTTTTGGTTATAAACAATTTTTGCAATGGTTGTCTTCCCTATTCCACCCATCCCACAGATCATCATTACGCTGACATTGTTCAACCCACCTTGGAACCACAGATTAATGTCTTTTACATGAGAATCTATTCCAGTTTGATAGGGGGTAACACTTAAGACCGTGAAATCCAATTTACTCACAATCTCCTGAACAATTATTTGGATAAACTTTGACTCATGCCGGCACATTGCGTTCAAAATAGAAACTAACCGAATTAAGCATGTCATGAACTAAGATGAGATGATAATTTTTGGGATTATTATAATTAAGAGAGTAAATTATACATCATAAAAGGTAGGGGGGAGGTTGTCTGCCTACTACCTCTCCCAAAACCTACAATAAGTGGGAGCCTTGAGCGCTGGAAACAAACTTTTCTTTTCTTTTTAAAAGGTCTCCATGGTTAATTTAACCCTACAACTGCACCAGAAAGATCTTCCAAGAATTTTAGCATTTGGATTGGCTAAATGTTAGTGGTAAATTGCTATAAGATTTTAGGGGTTTGTAATGGCAGTAAAGACAGGCTTGGATTAACCAGTCCAAGTCCAAATCCAACCAAGTATCTCAATGTAAAAGAGAACCTATTTTTAATATAGAGGAAGGGAGAGAGAGAGAGAGAGAGAGACCGAGAGATCGACAGACGAAGAGACCGAGATAGACGGATCGACAGAGAGATCGGCAGAGAGAGAGAGAGACCGAGATCGACGGAGATCGCCAGAGAGAGACCAAGATCGATGGAGATCGACAGAGAAGAGATAGAGATCGACAGAGAGAGAGAGAAAAAAACCTGCAACAGCGGCGGTGGTGATTGCGGTGGTGGCGATGTGCGACGGTGGCCAGCGATGGTTGGGTGGTGAGCGGGGGTGAGGTTTGGTGGTGACTGTTCTCTGTGTGTGTGGGTGAGAGACAGAACAGAGAAACCATTGGTGGTAACTGTTCAGTGGTTGTCCCACTTTGTTTATGAACCCTTTGAAATGTTACTCCTTTTGTGTTTATGAACACTTTGAAATGTTATTCCTTTTGTGTTAATGAACACTTTGAAATGTTACTCCTTTTGTGTTTATGAACACTTTGAAATGAATACTTTGAAATGTTACTCCTTTTGTGTTAATGAACACTTTGAAATGTTACTCTTTTTGTGAAATAATTTTTTTATAAAATTTATACCTTTTGTAAAAATGAAATTTATACATTTTGTAAAAATGAAACTTACAAAATGAAACTTTCATGAAAATGAAATTTATACCTTTTCTGAAAATTTACATTTTTTCGTGGAAATAGATACACCGTTTCTGAAAAGTTACTCCTTATGTGAAATAATTTTTTCCATAAAATTTACACTTTTTGTAAAAATAAAACTTACACATTTTGTAAAGTTACTTACATCTTTTGTGAAATAACTTACACTAATTCTGAAAAGTTACGCCTTTTGTGAAATAATTTCTTTTATAACATTTACACCTTTTGCTAAAACTTAGACCTTTTTTGAAAATTTACACCTTTTCGTGGAAGTACTTAAACATTTTTGGAAAAGTTACTTCTTTTGTGAAATAATTTTTTTATAAAATTTACACTTTTAGTGGAACTTACACTGAAAACAAAACTTAAGTTACTTATATCTATTGTGAAATAACTTATACAATATTTGAAAAATTATCCCTTTTATGAAATAATTTCTTTCATAAAATTTATACATTTTGCTAAAACTTACACTTTTTCTGAAAATGTACACATTTTCGTAGAAATACTTACATCTTTTCTCAAAAGTTACTCCTTTTATGAAATAATTTTTTTCATAAAATTTATACCTTTTGTAAAAATGAAATTTATACCTTTTCTGAAAATTTACATTTTTTCGTGGAAATAGTTACACCGTTTCTGAAAAGTTACTCCTTTTGTGAAATAATTTTTTCCATAAAATTTACACTTTTTGTAAAAATGAAACTTATACATTTTGTGAAGTTACTTACATCATTTGTGAAATAACTTACACTAATTCTGAAAAGTTACGCCTTTTGTGAAATAATTTCTTTTATAACATTTACACCTTTTGCTAAAACTTAGACCTTTTTTGAAAATTTACACCTTTTCGTGGAAGTACTTAAACATTTTATGAATTTTTTTTTCCACAAAAGATGTAAGTGACTTTAGAAAAGGTTTAAGTTTGGCTTTTACAAAAGGTGTAAGTTCCAAGAAAAATTATAAATTTTATGACAAAAATTATTTCACAAAATGAGTAACTTTTCAAAAAAGGTGTAAGTATTTCCACAAAAAGGTGTAAATTTTATGAAAGAAATTTTTTCACATATGGTGTAACTTTTCAGAAAATGTGTAACTTGTTTCACAAAAGATGTAAGTATTATGTGTAAGTTTTCAAAAGTTACACCTTTGGTAAGTAATTTCACAAAAGGAGTAAGCGTTCACAAAAAGTGTAAGTAATTTCACAAAAGGCGTAAGTTTTCAAAAAAAAAGTGTAAGTTTTCAGAAAAGGTGTAAGTTTTCACAAAAGGCGTAAGTTTTCACAAATCACTTACGCCTTTTTCTGAAATTACTTACGCCTTTTGTGAAAACTTACAACTTTTCTGAGAACTTACACTTTTTTCTGACCATTTACACCTTTAGTCGTATAATATATTATTTTATTAATTTACCTGGAAAGCAATGTGTAAGTTTTCAAATATTTTGATATAACCCAATACATAGAAATGTGTAAATGCAAAATAGAAAGGGTGTAAGTGCCTTGCATACCATATGCAAGGCACACCTAAGAAAAGTCCTTTTTAAAATATTATTATCATACATAATATAATCACAAAATATTGTTCAGAACCGAAAAATTATTTGGATAAATGTTTATGATTAGTTCTATCACTATACAATACATTTCTAAAAGTAGAGATAGTAACTTATGTATATATTTAGGCCTTTTTTGTATATATTTTAGCAACTTATGTATACTATTATGAGTGGTTTGAGATTTACTTATTTAGTAATTTTTTTGAATTTTTATTAAAAAATGTATAGAAAAATAGAGAAATGCTATGATAACTTATACTATAAGTAAATGGGTGCATTTATTTAATTCATTCCCAAATAAGATATTTGAGTGTTTACAGTAGTTCACATATGTTTACAATAATTCACAAATATATGTATGTATATATATATATATCGTTCTGTTCGATTTTAAACGGATTTGTAACTATAAAATTATGGACCAAACCATAAAATGTTGTTCGCTTATTTTAAGAATCAAAACCAAACCGTGCAATGAGAAACCCAAGCCAAACTGAGTGGTTTGGTCTAGATAGGACCCATTTATGATTTTTTATTTTATTTTTTTTGCTCAACCCTACAAAAGGTGGGACAATAGGAGTGGACAAATATCAAGTCGGACTTGCATTATATAGTAAACGTATGTGTGTCATCCCAAGTTCAACCCGACCCAACATTAGGTCTAACATAGCCTTCCCAAGCCCAGCCTTAAAAAAATATCAAAATCCCAAACTTAATCACTTAACCCAATAGACGTGAGCTATTAAATTAATTTTTTCTTGTCTTGAAAAGTTATTAAATTATTTAAACCCTTTTAATATATTTGAATTTAAAATATCAATAAAATTCAATTATAAAATAAATATAATATTTTAAGGAGTGTTTCAATTTGACCAATACCAATAAGTATATATATATATATATGTATTTTTTATCTTTTATTATTTTTTTAATTTATTTGTAATTAAATAATATAAAAATTAATATTAATTAGTGTGTTTGATTTTAGTTTTCTAAATTCAATTTTTTGGAAATTGAATTTTTTTTTCGTATTTTTTTTTTAGCAAATATTTTTAAAATGTTAAGCACTTTTTTTACTTCATTAGATGCACTTTACTTAGATGTATCTAGATAATAAAATACTTGTGAAAAAATATTTTAAAAAACTAATAAATACACAAAAATATGAAAAATGTACTGAATTTTCATAATTTTTTTTTGTATTTTTGGTATGTAGTAAATTTTCTAAAGATTTTTTTTCACAAATATTATAATTTTTAAGTGTATTTATGTTAAGTGTGTCTAAAAATATAATTTCTTAAAATATTTAAAAAATTCAGTGAAAACAAAAAAAATATGAAAAACGAAATGGTAGAATTTTTTGAAAAGTAAATTCTTAAAACTGAAAACAAACAGAGTGAATATTTTTTAAATGGGCAAGCTGGGCTAGGTTGGGCTAAATTTTTTTAATTTCAAACCCAGCCTAAAAATTAAATGGGTTAAAAAAATTTGTCCAACCCCACCCTATAGACTAAATATTTTTCCCAAGCCTTAAAAAAATGGGTTTTTTACTGGCCGGTCCTGAGTTTTGCACTTATTCCCCTCTTAGTCCTAACTTTTGATCTTGTGCACCAACAGGTCCTGAGTCTTTTTTTTTGGTACCGTTTTACCCCTCCCCTGTTCTAGCGCGTTTCTGTTTGGATTTTCTATCAAAATATTGAGTTTGTGATTTGGATTTCTGTGGAACTTCATGATTTGCTGCTATATTATTGTGGAGCTTCGTGATTTCTGATTTTGCGCTTGGTGTATCTTCGTGATTTGTGATTTGCGATTGTGTGCTTGGTGATTCTTCCTATTTTCGGTTTCGCGTTTGGTGTATAGTTACATTTTGTGATTTGCGGTGTTGTGTAGTTAGGTCGACTGGTATGTTTGATTTTGATTTCAATTTCAATGTTTTGGTTATTTCTAGTTTGAGTTGGTGATTTTGATTTTGTGGTGATATTGTTGTTACTCTGTTGTTTCTGTTGCGATTGAATTTGTGTTTTGATCATGATATTAAAAGTTTTGAGATATGTATTTGTTGATTGAATTTTAGTTTTTTATTTTTTTTGGTTACGAAATTGTGTTGATTGAACACAGGTGTTGGTTTGTTATTTTATACAGTAATAATTTTATCACTGTGTATTTTGGGGGTGATGTTGGATTAAATTTTTCAACAGTGATAAATTTATGAGTGAGTATGGGAATAGGAGATGAAAAGGTTGCATAATGTAAGATTCAAATTGAGTTACCAAGTCTAATAAGTGTAAGCCTTATTCACTGTCCTTGGTCTTTGGTGGTGTTAACTGTTAAAGTTATGAGTGTTGGTTTTTGGATGTGTTTAAGTTGGTTGATAATTTTATCACTGTATTTGATTTTATTTTAGGGTGTTTGAGTTGTTTGCTGAAATGTAATTGTTGTTTGTTGCAGGATTTATAGTGATGGAGAATTGTTTGTTTCTTATGTGCAAGTTTAGAGGTGTGACATTGGTTATCAAGTATAATGATGGATTTAATTTCAAGGATTTGGTATATAAATTGTGTGCAAAGTGGAGTGAGTTAGTTGGTAGTTCTTTGAATATATCGTATTCAATGGCTGGGCATTCTTCTTGTGGTTTTCAAAGTGAAGAGGATTTGGACGTTATGGTTAGACTGACACTTTCTTGTGATATTCATCGTATTGATGTTTTTGTAAAGTGTTGTTCTATGGGTGAAGGTTATATGATTTGTGATGGTGAAGCTACTAGTAGTAGTAGTAGTAGTAGTAGTAGTAGTAGTAGTGTTGTTTGTGAAACTGATTTTTTGCCTTCATTTTATTCAAATCAACAAAAACCTTTACTCTCTGATGGGTGGGTTAATTGTATGAAAGGATTGGGACAAAGGTTTGCTCAAGGAGTTGTTGAATTTCGAGATACGTTGTCAAAGTATTCTATTCATTCCAGTTTTAATTTTGATTTTGTTAAGAATGATAAGGATCGTGTCACTGTTCATCGCAATAGAAGGGCTGATTTGGAATGTTTATGGAGCGTGCATGCTAGAGTGGAAAATTATAGTAAAGCTTTTGTTATTAAACAATTTGATGATGTTCATACTTGTGGATCTTTTTTTCGTACAATTAAACATGCTAGGATGACTTCAAGTATGATTGGTGGGCTAATTTCAAGTGATATTCGTAATAAGGCTTTGACATCGGTTAGTGAGGTGGTTTGTGATTTCAAGGACTATTATGGAACAGAAGTTTCTTATCGGCGAGCTTGGATGGGTGTTAAAAAAGCAAGGGGTCTTGTTTTTGGTGACTATTCATCATCATTTGATGATCTTCGTTGGTATGTTGATGCTGCTAATGCTTGCAATCCGAGGAGTGTTTTTGATATGGAATTTGATATTGATAGTAAAGGAAGACATTTCAAATGCTTGTTTTTTGCTTTTGAGGCATGTATTCATGGTTTCAAGTATTGTAGGCCTGTGTTGATGCTTGATGGAACTTTCTTGAAAGGAAGACACAAAGGTTGTTTATTGGCTGCTACGGCAAAAGATGGTAACCAAGGTATATTTTGTGTCTATGTGTTATTATTATTGAAACAGTGATAATTCTGTCATTTTTGTTACTGGATAGTGCTGATTATTGAGTATGGTCAATCTATTAGTGATAAATTTATGCTATATACTTTTGTTAAATTTTTATATTTATACAGTGATAAATTTATCTATGGCTGGTGCTATATGTCATATACTTTGTGTTTTGATTTTCTTTTTGTAATTTTTTTATTTGTTACTGATAACGTGTATATATATTTTGTTTGTAGGTTTATATTCGTTATGTTTTGCTATTGTTGATAGTGAAAGTTATGACAGTTGGCATTGGTTCTTGTCAAAGTTATTAGGTATTTTGACTCCGGAGAGGGATATTGTGTTTGTTACTGATCGACATGGAGGTTTGCTGAAAGCTTTAGCTGAGGTCTTTCCATTTTCTTCTCATTCTTTTTGTCTAATGCATTTGAAGACAAACTTGAAGACTTATTTGTCAGTTAAGAGTCGTGAATCTAAAGAGTATTTGCTTACACTTTTTAGTAGATGTGCATATGCTCCTACTATTGAGTTGTTTAATGAGCTATTTGAAGAATTTAAGGGTCGTTGTGGTCGTAGTGTTGAGAAGTTTCTTGAGGATTTGCCTAATGAGTGTTGGTGTAACGCTTATTTTCAAAGCAAGAGGTATGGTGAAATGTGCACAAATGCTGCGAAATCTTTTAATTCATGGATTAGGGATGAACGCCATTTGTTTTCAACTAGTCTTGTTGATGCTATACGGGTGAAACTAATGGCGCAATTTTCAAGAAGGAGAGAAGTTGGGAATAAGTAGAATCGTATTGTTTGTCCTTTTGCAGAGAAAAAGTTGGAAGAAGCTTTTAATGATACAAAAGCATAGATAGTTAAGAAATGTAGCGATGACATTTATGAAATCCAATTGGATCGTTCAGTTATGGTTGATATTGGGAAACGTTGTTGTTCTTGTCGATTGTGGGAAATTGATTGTTTTCCTTGCAAACATGGTTTTTGTGCTATAAAGAGGAGTGGGAAGGATCTGAATTGCTTTCTTGATGATTACTACCGTGTTAGTAGTTATTGTGATTCTTATTCACATTCTATCTATCCAGTTCCTAGTATGTGGAAGCCAAATGTAGTTGTTGATGATGACGTTGTTTTACCTCCTCTTTGTAAGAGACCAGCTGAACGTCCAAGAACGGAGAGAATACCTTCTAAGGGCGAAATCAAGAGAATTAGATGCAGTAGGTGTGGAAAGATGGGAACTCATAATCAGAAGACATGTAAACAAGCTTTGCTTTAGTTGTATTGATTTTAATTGAATTACTTTGTTTGAGAGTTGAGAGGTGTTACTTGCATTGAATGATTGAGTATTTTTGGAAAGATGTATCATTTTGGTACTCACATTGAATGATTGAGGAATTTGTTGATCAAAAATTATATTTTTTGCTGATATTTTTACAGGATTAAGTTTCACAGATTTATATTATTTGATTTGGGTTAAATGTAGTTGTTGTTTTTTGGTGTTTTATAAAGTGATAAATTTATCACTAGTTGGTTTGGAAAAATTGATGGATTATTTTTTTGTAAGAATGATAAATGTACCATTAATGTGGTTCTTGAATTTTGTTATTTTGAAGAATGATAAATTTATCACTAAGAGTTGATGGTTTATTACATTTATGTCAGTGGTTGATAAATTTATCACTGTCATATCCAAACAAATGTTCTTTTCTACAGTGATAAATTTATCATTGTCTGGAGTTATCTAGTTTTCCCAGGAAAAATTTCCACAATACAAAGGTGTAGATCAAATCTCTAGAATACATAATTGCATATCTGCTGTGTTAACTGCTTTAAAAAGCAAAAAATTTTAGATCAACTGCCATGTTTATCTGGTTTAGCAACAAGTTCTCAGTCTGTATACTGTTTTGTGGTGTCACGCCCCACTTTTTATTACTCGAAGTCATTATCAAATTCATTAACTTAATTCAATTTCAAGGATAACATGCGGAAATAAACTTTACATTTAACCCGAAGAAGTGATTAACAATACTCTCATTCGTATGCAAAGTAAATATTACATGAACATACTTAATAAATTGCCCTTGGGCTTACATCACTTAAGGTACAAGAAGAAGGGTGCAACCCTTTTACAACAATGGCATTCCGCCAACATAACTGAGGCCCCGTGGCCAGTAAATAAGTAGATCCAAATCTTGCAACACATTCAGCTCAACACCTGAAAAAGATTTCAACGACGTGGGATGAACATATAGTCCAGTAGGGAACTCAACATGATCCTCAACAATAACAACATACAGATAGCTATGATCATCAATGCTCAATCTCATACTAGAATAATAATGTGACAGTTTACACAAAATATACATAATTTTGCACTTTTCTCGAAAACAACCATTTTAATCAACGCCATAGGCGATTCATCTTTCCCTTCTTTTCATTAATCCCCGTTCCCAATCTTTCATAACATTAACAATACCCTAGGAAATAATTTCACTAAGCCCACTACTCTCTTCCATTCTCCAAACACACACAGGTAACCCTTTGTAAATATATATATATATATATATATATTTCTTTAAAAATATCCGTTTTCCTTCACACTTTCCAAAAGACAAATATGACATTTTGGCTTCTTCCCGATACAATCAAATCTATACATGTACTGTTATAAAAAGAGATAACAACTCACCAACATGCATAAGATAAACCAATGAGGCAACTCGGCCCTCCAAAACCATAATCAACACAATCCATGATATTCCCAAACACACTGAAATATCAACAACAAAACTTTGCTCTACTAGCTATGCGTATTTGCCTAATTTTAGTGAATTCAGTTTCT